TGAAGTATATCCCAGTGGTCTGAAAATATGCTCCTCGTGATATCACTTAATGAACTGTGACGGGGGCTTCTACGTGTGATAAAAGCGCGTCACTGTAAAGTTATGAACAACTCTCTTTTCCCTCTAAAAGAAATTTTATTGTGCGCACACGGACTACATCAAGTTAAAGATGTGACCACAATGTCTCTCCCTCAATGTCTCCTTCCAACGGCTTGGGTACGCTGTTATTTTCCCTACTCGCCGAACACCTCGAATGCGGCAGAATGCTGCATTTTTATAGCAAAAGTTCTTACTAAAATTTGTAACACTACCGTGTTATAGTATGTAGGAAGTGCTAATGACTCACTGAATATAAGCAGGGGATTTTTGTGTCAGAACAGAGATTTGTTTGTATCCGTGAGGCATTATATGTCTTAAATATGATACTTGAAATCATTTATACTGTCTTAAGCGGTTGTAGTAAATGAGATAGAAATACGACATGCACCTTGGATGAATAATACGATTTTTGTCCAAGATGCACGTAGATCGTGCGCGTTAGTTTTTTTACGGCGGAAGGTGATAAAATTAAGATAATGGATCGAGGAGCACGGCTCTTAATGGATGTGAAAGTGAGATTGACATAGGTCTATTGGGGAAGGTATCAAAAATGCTATATCCAACCCCGTAATAAACCACTACGTGTTTACCGGAGTCGGAGATTTGCCACAGAAGTCAAAATGTAAGCTGTTGCTATATTTCTGCATTGATATCGTAGTTTCGTGCTTGTGGTGAATTCAGAGATTATCGACAATTTTGCATTTATTTCCTTCAATTGATGTTTAAAAATAATAAATCTATGGACATATTATTATTATTATTATTTTTATTATTATTATTATTATTTTCGTGTAAGTGGATTGAACGTGTGAAGTTAAAAGTAATAAATGAGAACGGAAATAATGCAATAAAATGCATAAAATCAGGTTGCCTATATGGCTGATGTATGTATGTGGAAACATGATACTCGCGATAAGACCACTGAAACCGCCATACTTCTACTTTGTAAAGGAATAAATAAGAAAAAAAACGACCATGTTAAATAATTACAGGTTTGCCCAGATAAACTCGCGGTTTAAATTGCATTATAATTTCAGCGGAATAGTAAGATTATATTTTTGAAAGACGAGAACTACAGCTACTCCAAAAATAAGATCTTTGTGAGGCACGAACCGATGAATGACCATATGACCCTAGGTCATTTTTCAGTGGAAGCGTGACCAGGTGTTTTGTTGTGGTCATGGCCGGAGTTATAAATGACCAACTGGGACGCTGCGTCTTTTTGATGTGGACACTGATTGCCACTCACAGGGTGGATCAAAGATCATGCAATACCCATCATTGCGTTAAGACGAATTTGCAGACCTCCGATGCCTCTAGTTAATCGAAAACTGACATTCTCAAATCGTTTGTCGTGTTAATTTGGTAAAGATAAGTCTGAGAAAATGATTTATCCTTAATTCGTTTCTTTATCCGAAGGATGAGTCGAATACCCAATCCTTTGCCACTGTCAATATATCCAGCACGTTGAAAATTGGGGCGAATTTCAAGAAATTGCCCGAACTCACCGGAGCATATAAAAATATAAATATACCAGCATATTGCAACAGGCGCTCTAAGGTTTCAGGTGTGACAGGAATGGTAGCCCGCTAGAAAACGTATTATTTTGTACAGATGCCACTGTAAAGCTAGCTTGCTAACTATTCAAACCTTTTCATGGGATAGCTTTACCAGTTTTGCTGATATGGGTTATGTATGAAATTAAGATCGAGCTGGCAAAACTGAACTCTAGAACCTAGGGTATGTACAGGTGACATTCGTCCCAAATACTATAACCCATATACTCCGACTAACACTAACCTGTACTAATCATTTAGGACCCCGGACTTCCATTTCTACCATTCCTATCACAACGGCATAAAAATAGTACTTTTCTTCAAGGGTTTGCTCTCATTGCTTTGCACCCAATAATGGATCAGGGAAAGGTGAGATACAACCCGAGAAGATAGGGAAGAAGCTAATAAACAAACAAGGATACTTAGTGTGTTATTTAACCTTGTATACCTTAACACGAGATCAATCGTATGTAAACAGTTTACATGGTTCTCAGCACTTCTCCCGCTTCCTGTTGAAAGACATACTTTTTCCTGCGTGTGGCGTCATCACTTCGGCAACGTTCACACGTGCGAACATTTTGGGCCTCATTGCCGTCTCGAAACCGAGTCTCGGGTGAATTGATTGGGCCATCCAAATACAGGCCCGTATAGCGAAGGCGGGGTTTGGGGGTTCGAACGAACCGCCCTTTTAGCCAGGGAAAAAGTCCGCTCTGGTTAAAGTTTTCTCTAGGCACATGAAGGTTTCATGGTAAAAAGACATCATTTTTGAAAAAGCCCCCCTCCCCCATTTGAAATTGCTGGCTACGGACCTGAGACAGCACTGTAGAAATATGTTATTCGGTTCGCACAGATTTGGTTGCTGATTGCTGATTGCAGTTTACCCACTTAGCTGTGCATCCTCTTGGTTGTGAAGTAAAGAGACCGGCACACGGCATTTTATTTTGTCTGCCAGAGCGAGATGGGAGAGTTCTTGAATGACCGTTGCACGATTAATGTAACGACAGATGCAACCGGTTGATCGTTGATTAATTGACATTTGGTGTGAACGTTACAAGAGATAATGCAATTTGACATTTTTTATGTTATGTTGATCTGATAAGCTCTAGTAATGCAGTGATAATATACACGTGTGTAAAAACACATAAACTCCATTCACGGGCAGTCAGGCTTAAGTTACTGAAGTTAAGAATTATCCGTTCAACAGCCAGAGAGAGGCGCACGCGCTTCAAGCGATGGGTACCCTCGTGGTGATTCAACTGTGATGAGTTAGAACTATCTTGATCCCACAGCTGGGCTATCTGAACCACTTCCGCTTTCTATGAGCCGTGTAGTTGTTGTGTCCTGCTGATATACAGTGTTTTGATGGGGAGAGAATGTGGGTTATAAGTGGCAAACGTGAAAAGATGAGATATTTGATCTCGCTTAACGATATGCAATACTTGGGATGCAAAAACAACCGTATAGCTCTCTCTCTCTCTCTCTTTCTCTCTCTCTCTCTCTCTCTCACACACACGCACACACCCGCGCGCGCGCGCCCGCACGCACACACGAATAAGCACACGACCGCGCAGTCATTCACTTACACGCAAATACTTCTGAAACTGAATAAGACATAATGCAACTCTTCTTACAGCTTTCAAGAAGATAAAAACCCTGAAATTTTCACTGAAACACCGATAGCTTTATTTCATTCAAACGCCTAACTTAAACGCGTGCTGTGCAGTTAAACAATGGTCCTAATGGTTTATCCCTGCTCGGGACAAGTTAAGGCTATGAACTCTGGCCACAAATAGAGACGCCGCCCATGAGCCATGAATAATGACTTTCCTGGTCGAAATCGCCGCTTTTTAACAGTTTCTCAACGCGTCTGCCAGAAGCAGGAATTTGTATCGCGGTGATTTTAGGTGCGTTTTCATGACCTTCTGGCAGGGTAGAGTACTCTTTTACTCAGTAAAACACGCTCTAGACATACCAAGCACTTAGGCCCCTCTTGCCGTCACGTTATCACAAAATAATGTTATTTCAGCCGACTGGAAAGACATGGATGTTTTATTAGTAATACAGTATTATATGATAAATGGCTGTTGCCAGTGCGTCCCGACGTTTCTGTAGATGTTCGTCGAGCCGAAGCGTTTGCACAGTACACTATCTGATCTACTGGTATACCAGGTCCGCGTCACCTCACACGAAGTGCTAATGAGGCGCAATGTTGTTTATTTTTATCACTGTTGACTACAGTTACCCTGAATATCGACGTACAGCTGGTGTGGCAGGAATGGTAGTGTCCTAGGAATGGAAGTCTGGGGACCCATGTGATTAGTACAGTTTAGGGTTAGTCGGTGTATAAGCGTTAGTACATAAGACGAGCATCACCTGCATGTACAAAGTAGTGAGGAACGGTCTACGGTTCCCAGCGGACTACCATTCCTGTCACACCGGTGGCTCTCCTTTACAAACATACATGTAGCTGTTGTCTCTGTCGGCGAAGCAGTGCTGAAGGTCGTCCGCGCTCACACCGACAGATTCAGGTCTGTAATAGTGATGTCATATTTAATGTGACGTCATGCTTACAGAAAACCTCATATCTTGACGTCATCTTTGACGTCATCTTTAACAGTGTCATAAATCAAAAACCTGTATTGGTGACATCGTACTTTTAAAACATAATACATTAAAAAATGAAACGTGCGACAAAGACAATTCTCCATGCGGAGAGCGTCTGTTACTAAGGGTGTCTGAAGTCCACAGATGTATAAACGATGACAAATTGCCACTGAATGTCATGCTTCCAAAAATCTGTTGATAAAAAACGGCTCAAATTATAAAGATTGGCCTAAAAATAGAAGAGAGAAGAGCGAAAAGCTCGTAGATTAGACGGCGATTTATGTGTTTGTCGGGGCAAGGGTTTCGGTGTCGGGCAATGTGCTGACAAGGACAAACGACCACACAGTTTGAGTATTTTGTGTGGATTTTCTGCTTACTTTTATATGTATATTTTTCGATATATTCTATCAAAGGTGTGAATGCTTTTATGATTGCAAAATGTTTTCTTGTTGCACATTGGTTTAGACTTTAGGCTAAATTTTCTTTTAGCCAAAAGGAAGAATTAGTTTAGTGGAATCAAATAGCAACTGTGAGATCAATGATCAATTTCCTTAATGTAGTAAGATTGTTATGACAAAGAAATTGATGCTTAGGTTTCACCAAGAACGTTAAGTTGAACGTCCTTGGTTTCACTCACAATCTTCGAATTTTAGCTTTACAGATACACGTAGATTTGAAAATACTGATGTAAACCATTATTATTATTATTATTATTATTATTATTATTATTATTATTTCTAGCTCCTGTGTAACGGCATTATATTTACGTGTGCAAATGTCACTGGAGCGTTCATCCACAACCTCACGGAGCGTGGTCAGCGGAAAGCGTTCCTGGACACTCGGAACTGCGTGGCCGCCAGGCTTAACATAGAGGACGAGAACGAGAAACTGGTCAGTAAATCTTTGTGTTTGCCCCTTATTTGTAGGAATTTCTGTTGTTCAAAGTGTATACTCTGTACATGTCTTTTCTTTACTCTTTACCAGAAACCCTAGCTGTAACAAAATTGGCTGAAGGACTAAATTTTTAGGTAGAAGGGCTTTTGGTAGAGAGTACCTGATCGTGTTAGATTTTAACATTTCTGAAACTGATTCTGGCATCCGAATGGGATTTATGGAGAAAACGAGAAAGCAATAAAAAAGAGCAATGAATACAATACTCTCTCCACCAACGCATCTTTTCATATGAATTATTTACACGCCAATATTTTTGTGCCGTGTCTGAATTACTGATGCATTTATTCATAGCACCTTGTTGAATCAGCTGTGATTCACTCCAACCTGATATGGCTCTTCTCTCAATATCACAACAATTGAACCCGATACGCACAAAATGTACCTTCAGTGTTAACAGTCATTGGCCTGTTAAAGAGATAACACCTCTTGGAATGAGAGTCATATTTCGCAATAAATACATTGTTGACAACTCTTAGAAATATAATAAATTCCATGTAACCACCTACACAGCGGTTAGCGCAATTATTCTACAATTTATGCTTGTCATCAGACCACGTGGACCTTAATAGATGATTATACCTCCGTAATAATCTCTTAAAAGGTCATCACAATAAAGCATTGAAAAAACATGGACTGACTTTGACTATTGAAGTGGATGTTTGCGTAAACGAGCAGTTGTTATCTCTTTAACTGCCGTAAAATGCCAGCAGCTGGTTGTGGAGTTTATGGAGTAATGCGTACGTCATTAATTATATTTTACAACGTTGTAAAAGCTGGGAGTAAAGGTGTGTACGATGCAACGCAGGATGCTGAACTCTTCGCATGTTGAAGCCTACGCGTTTTTTTCCCCACATACATAAAGATCACTAGCATTTGGAAAACCCGAAAGCGGAGTGGGTGGGCTTTTGGGGTTGGAAAGGAGGCCGTAGCGATAGTCCGAAGGTTCACTATAGAACCTTTGGACCAATGAACCCCTGATTAAAAAATCGATGAAAACGTTACCACTTTTCGGACCAATGAACCTTCGGACCAATGAACCTTCGGACTATCGAGATGCCCCCTTGAAAAGAACCGCCCTTTTGACAAGAGAAGGTTCGTTCTGAATCTTGTTTCGAAGTCATTTCTCAACATGGGTCAGTTAGGGCTAACAAGATCAACTTTGCGTGTTATTGACATTGCATCCATTGTAGACCCACGCTGTATTAGATGAAGGTCTGCTCTGGCAACTGTACTTGTATCTCCTCAACATTGTAGAACATCTTGTTCTTCACTATTTGCGATGTTCCAAGACACTATATAATTCCTCTCCCCCAATAAAGTTATACAGCACAATCTTTTATCTATATGGGAAGGTGAACGAAAATACACTACCAGAGGGACACAAGGTTATTTTTTTATACTCAAAACGCATCTGCAAATTGTGCACTTTTGCTTGCTTCAAGTAAACGCCATCACGTACACCACTTATATGTGCGTATATATATTTTTATCCCAGGAGCGGTTACTGTTAAGTGTTCTACCGGAGCACGTGGCCACCGAGATGAAGCATGATATGAGCCAGCCTCACGAGGGTCTCTTCCATAAGATATATATACAGCGGTATGACAACGTAAGGTAAGGTGTGGCCATTTTGACGGGGGTGGGGGTGGGGGTGGGAGTGGGGGATAATGGGAAATGTAACCCGCTACATAAGGTGGAGTTTTGGGAAAATGCTGTTATTAACGCGTTGAAGAATATAACTTTTAAGACTTTTACTGTACCCTACCCACTCTATGTACAATATCTCTTTCTAAGACAAGCTATACCCCAGTGTTTGTAATTCACGACAAATTTTGTCCACTGAGAAAAATTCATTTGAGGTCGAATGAATGAACATTGCATGTTGGTTACTTTACTTTTTATCTGGGCTCAACTTGAAAATACGTGCGCAGTTTACGCCTATCATTTTTGAAAAACGCGCCCCGCTTTCTTTAATTTTGGGGCATGCGCGCTTTGACTCTTTACTATTTCCTTTGCATTTGCGTCGCATCTGTAAGGTCAGATTACTAACAGTACCTATTTTCATGTCTTTATTTCAGCATTCTATTCGCAGACATTGTAGGATTCACAATATTATCATCACAATGCACAGCACAGGAACTTGTACGAATTCTCAACGAACTTTTTTCACGATTCGACAAACTTGCAAACGTAAGTTGATGATAGCTATAAGTACAGTGTATAGACCCATATGTAATTAATGTTAATTATTTGAATTTAATTTAAATAACAATAATGATGATATTAATGATGAACGATGTTTATGGCGCATTCCACTAAAGTCTCGATGTGCATCACAATAGACACTAAGATTATGCCCAAATAAATAATAAAATCCATTGTAAAGATTATTAAATTTATATTTAATTAAATAATTAACATTTATTCTTTTAGGTATAACTACAATTTAAATAGATTCGGTGTCATATTAGACAAATAAATGTAGTTTCAAAAAGTATTTAAAAAAAAAACAACAGTTAAAAAAAGTTCATCCCACACTTCAGTCAATGGGCTAACATTTTATACATATTTCTGTTGATGTTTTTGTCACTGTAGGAGAACTGCTGTCTCCGTATCAAGATTCTAGGAGACTGTTACTACTGCGTCAGTGGTTTGCCAGAGGCCATAGAAGACCACGCCAAGTGCTGCGTCAACATGGGCCTCGATATGATAGATGCCATAGCGTGAGTTTTAGTGTTTTAAATTTCAATTTTGTCTGCTGATTTTATTCATGTTTTTATTTATTTAAAATTACTTTTCATTTACTTGCTTGTTTTTGTTTATTCTTTATTTATGTGAAAATATATTTTTGTTTCTCAATTTATTTATTTATTTATTAAAATTTGTTTGTTTATATACCGTGTATTTAGTTACAACTTGGAAGCTGTAACGCATGTCATTCACATTTGGAGAAATCAACATCATTTATAAAGACACTGTATAACAACAACCATTAGGTGTGTTCTTCTTCACCTTTTAAAATTAAGTAAAATCAGGTTAGCATTGAATATGTCTGGTCATTGAACCCAGAGCCCCACTGGGAGGATTTCCCAGGTTTAAAATTCAATATGTCTGGACGTTGATTGATCTTCATTGAGGTAGGCTCAGCAGGGAGCTAACAGGTGAAGTCGGTACATGTTATTTATTTATCTTTTTGAGTATCTTTCTGGGGAATTCATATTTGGTCTCTGTTTTGTATTAGGGTATTTAACTAAAACAATTATGTAAATTAAATTATATTTTGAGACCAGGCCAAAAATGATAAGTTGAAAATCAGTTGGGGATTTTTTTTTTATTTTGTAAATATCACATGACAAAGTTCATACATTTCTGTCCTAACAGATCACAGATTATGTAATGATTATAAATGCCTTTGCTCCCATTTTGGAAAGGAAGCTAGGAGAGGTTGGAGATCCAAATTGCTCAGTAGCGCAGTGGGAATAGACAGGACCAAAAAGGGTTATTAATTGGTTCTTTACCAACCAAAAAGGTTTAACAATTGGTTCTTTTAAGATAAGTTGCAGCTTATCAGTGTCTGAAATCAGCAGGCTGCACCCGTCTTGCCAAAATAGGTATGTTGCCAAAGTAGGTACATGTATGTCTCAGATTCTTCTAACAACTGCAAAAAAAGAAAGAAAAAAAAAGTGACTGAATGCTCAGCTGGAACTTAAAGCAATAATAACTCTTCCTTTGAGATTAAAAAATCCGCATGAAATACATTGTAAACAACGCATGGAAATATATTCTATTGTATTTTACCACTAAAACGGCCGTTATTGTAGGAAAACTAAAATCTGTGCTTGTCAATAGGACTTTCGATCCCTTTTTTCCGGTCGACAAGTGCATTCGTTGCTAATGACGTAATGGTGTCACGCGGATTCTCGCGTTCATTCGAGACCAAACTAACATAACGGGAAACCCTCAGACGTAAGTTGCGAGTTTTTGTACAGTGCGTCGGATAACGAAAAGCCCAGAATGGCACACATTGTGGATATAAATGCATTTTTAACAAAAAGACGAATATATCTCATGAATCTTATATAGTGTTGTTGTTGTCTGCTTTTCCCGCGGTTTTAAGTAGGTCACCAGTGACTTTGCAATGTCAGAGAGAGCTCCGTCAGTTAAAATCTCTTAAGAGATTTTAACAAAAAACCGTACGTTTAGGAAAAAAACCCTGGATTAACTTTGAATGCAGGAATGGGGTCGTTGGCCATTGGTAAGTACGGGAAAATTGCCGTTTTTTCCAGGAAAATCCAATTTTTGGCCAAAACGAAGAGTTATTATGACTTTAAAGGTGAATTCGAAGAGATTGATTGCTATAAAAAGAATAATTTAAAAGCTTATTTTATCAAATAAGTGGTCACCTGGGATCACATATATTAATGAAAATCCAAGTTCTTATTATAGATTTCATCCATTATGCTAAGAAATAAAAAACAAAAAAAAAAAAACATTAAAAAAGGAAGAAAAATACCTTGTGCACTTCAAGGGCATTTATCCAATTTCTGAGGGACCAAAATAGTAAGATAGTAATTCAAGTTGACTGCATTACCCTGGGCAGATAAGTCTTCCGATAAAAGGAAAACTGCTTTATCATGTCTTACATGGTTCCAGAATAGGAACTTTTTATATCACAAATCAATCTAATTTACCCCATAGGGGGAAATCAGCAAAAGTGCAAGACAAGCCAAGAGAATTAAAAATTGTACTCTGTTTCTGTGAGAAAAGTTGGATTTGTTCCCAAGTGATGTAAGCTGCAAAGTTGATGTCTCTTAATCAAATATAATATCTATTAAGGTTATCATAGCCAGACAATTTATTCCCATGTTCTATAACTGGATGATCAATACTGGAACTGGTGGTAACTAGTTACAGGCAGTTTCAATTGGCAAATTTGCTACATGCCATTGTATTACTATATGCTGTTGTAGTACTTAGTATAATAATAGGAATTGGCAGTTCATCAACATTCCTGTTAAAACCTTTTTAATAAACAGCCATGGGGCACATGTATTGTACAGTTCATGGCTGCAGTAAACTGTGTTACATTACCATCCTCTGTATCCATCCACCTTGTCAGAGCGAGAGCACTGCGAGTTCCTTGGTATTAAAATACCTGGAAAGTAGTGATGGTGTTTTGCTTTAAAGCAATTAGTACAGTGATTACTCATAGTCCTAAAATGCAGGTCAGGTTTGGAACTGTTGGTATTATTATTATTGTTGTAATCATTTGTTTGTTCATTTGTTTCTTTCTTTTTGTATAAAATTACTTACAGCTGCTGAGCATTTGATTCTTGTCCAAGATTTTCAATCCTTATTTTGCAATCACCATTTCTAGGAATAAGGTCATGGAGATTTGGTTTTCAGATTTTCTTGGAATACAGGATATGAAAGTCCAATTTCATTGTTTACTTAATGTTAACCCAGTTGTTCAGATATACACACTGACAAAATTTGAATCACTGTATCTCAAACAATACTAATTAAAAGGTTTTAGAGTACATAAACAGACTTGTAGCATTTATGAAGAATACAGTGTACTAGTAGATATCAACAGGTTGGTTTATAAATAGTGTGAGGAGAAAGTGGTAAAAGTTACTCTACATGTTCTAGCTAACACATACCAGATGAAACATTGGAAACACTTTCACTTTGCCAATACTGCAAGACAACAAAGAAAGTAAAAAACATTCCTTGAGAAAAAAAGACAATTCATTTTAACTTATAAAAGAAGTGCAACAAAATCGAGTTAGATTCATTTGAAACTGCATCTTTAGTGTCTGCTTTTACATTGCGTCCCAAAAAGAAAGTCAATAAAAGGTGAGAAGTCTGGAAATCCGAAGCTTAAGTGGTTGTTTGTGTTTGCAAATTGAGTCCTTATTAAGCTGACAGTTTGCCCTTTTTCTTCTCCCGCAGGTGTATTGTGTTTAATTCTCCAGAGGTGTGATATTTGTAGCCCTGTTTACACTTTGAAAAAAATATGCCTTGTTAGTGATCTTGGTTTGCTTTTGGTATCGTGTTCCAAAGAATACTTGGCACTGTCTGCATTTCTGAACTAGATTTGTCAGATATATCTACTTATTTCAATTCTTTAATTTTCTTCGTTATGCTCTAAATTTTTTTCTGTTGGGTTTTCATATCGACTTTTTGTGAAAAATCTTAGTGTGTGAAGGTTGCATCTAATATACATGGGCCTTGCTGTGTGTACCGACATGTAGAACTTCATAGGGCCACTGTTCTTGTCTAAACTTGCCAATACAGAGAGGTTTTCCCAGGACAAGCAAGTGCGTTTTAATATCACCAGAATTTCATCAGCTTAGGCTAAGCCGATTGCACTTAGCAAGAGTCCCCTCCCCCCAGAGTTGGGCCAACCTAACTATAACCATATATGTTTATCTGAATGCTACCCGAGACCAACATTTATAGTCCAAATGTTCTTTGAACCAAGCTAAGGTAAGCCATCCCTGGGTTAAGGCTCCGTTCACATGCAATGTCTATTTTCTAAATTCTGTTTTCTATTCGCGCTATCTTATGATCATGGTCTGTGCCCTGAATATCCCGCCGCGTAATTACTGGCAGCGCGAGCCAGTTACTTATAGTAACTTATAGTAACTGGCTTGCGCTGCCATTAATTACGCGGCGGGATATTTAGGGCACAGACCGTGATCATAAGACATACCGCGAATAGAAAATAGAATTTAGAAAATAGACATTGCATGTGAATGAAGCCTAAGCCTTCCCATGAACTGAAACATGTTAACTGTTACATGTACAGGTACTCCTAGCTAGTGAAAACTATACTCAGTATATGTATATGTACTGGCCAGATGTTGGGTAGAGCCACATAATCTTGCCTAATAAACCCATAATATAGACCAGGCTTTATGCGTGAAAAAGTTCAGGATATAGCATCTGGAGTTACATGTAGTAAACATGCAGTGTTTGGGAGAGATGCAGAAGTGGACAGAAAGAAGAAAAAAAAGAAAGTAAAAAAAAAAAGAAAAAAAATCATGAGGTTATACCAGGTACTAATTACAAGGGCTTTCTAGAAGGCGTGGGCCAAGTTTTCTGTCTGTAATTAAATTGTTTCATTGTTTTGTATATATAGTACCTTCATGTAACTTTAAGCTGAGCTGGCTTATGTTTTACAATTAATGAAGCATGCTTGATAAATGCCTTATTTAATTAGAGGTGAATGTATAAGCACCATGTTTACAACTTCTTGCACACGGATTTTCTGAGAAGTAAGTTTTCCAGGAAAATTTTTGAGTGTCATTTAAGGACATTGACATTTAACTTCAATATAAAAGTTTTTTTGGTGCAAGAACTACACATGTATGATATGTGTACCTTATTATAATTTAATAAAAATTATATTTTAAATGCCAAATTCTTATCCAGAAGATAAACTATTCACATTATATTATGAATACTCTTATGATTAATGATATAAACTTTAACTGATTAAAAGGCTTTTTGAAAGAAATTTATTGACACAGAGTTCAACAGGTTTGCGTGAACTGACAGTTACTGGAAACATCTCATTAGTCAGGTTCAGGCTCGGTGGACCATAGAGTTATTGGTCCAAAAGTTAATTGTGAAAGACATTCTGCTTTTTTAATTGAAGTGATATTGGGTGCATACCAATTAAAGTCACCTGTGATTTTAGGTGCAAACAAGCAATTACCAAGTTTTTAATAGGAGAGATACTTCTACCACTGCACACAGCACCACCATGTACCCCCCACCCCCCCATTCCCATATGGACCCCTAAGAAAATGTAAATTTGGGAGTATAGGGTCAGGCCTTGTAAACAGATTAGGTGTTTACTAACACTACCCATGGCTCTTTTAGCACTAACACCCATATTAACTACATAACCCACAAATTAACCAGCACTACCAGAGTGGATAAATGTTAGTGCTAGATATCACTTTGTTAGTGCTAAATAATTGTACAGTATGTTGATTAATTCATGGGTTTTTGGTTAATATGGTTGTTAGTGCAAAAGGATATGCGGGTAGTACGAGTGAACGCCTAATCCATTTATAAGGCCTGAGGGTTTACTAGTACAGTGCGTAGTACTCGATCACTGAATCTTCCGTTTGATGCCATTACAGTATTCAAGTACAACTGGCAGATGAGTTCACTTTTAAGCTGTTAAGGTAGCAGTGCAAGACCCTCACATCCTCCACAAATGTTTTAAATCAGCAACCCGATCTTAGTTTTATCAGCAACCCAATCCTTATTTTATTAGCAACAGGATCTCCCTTGATTCAACATGCTGCAATGAGCAGTTAGAATAACCCAATCTCGTTTTTTTCTAAGCAACATAATGTCTGTTTTTATCAGCAACAGGGCTGCCCATTGATTCAGCATGCTTTGAATAGCAGCTAAAACAACAGCCTGGAGACTTGGGGCTGATAACCAGGCTTAAACTTCCTCCTCCAAACAAGACCAGAGCATGATGAATTGTTCTAGTCCTGCTGATATTGAATGGAATGTAGGGTTTGGTCCGATAATGGGCCCTATGATCGAAATATGATTTAAAATGATCTGCACTAGTAGTTATTGTGTATATCATATGTAATTAATGATTCTGTGAAAAAATGGACATTTTAAAGTTATTTTCATAGAATTTTGCTGATTTTACTGTTTGGAATTAGGTGCATGTCTGTTTATGAAATTAAACTTGTTGAAATAATTAATTTTTTTTCAATTTATCAATAGGAAAAAGATTCTTGACGAAGAAGAGTTCATGGAAAATATGGCCTACATCTCAAACACTTCTATAAAAATTAGAAGAAAAAAAAAGCTCTGAATTATGGTTATAAATAAATACATACAGGTATAGACTACAAGAAATTATATTATTGTTATCCTTTTGCTCATATGAATAAAAGCAAAAGAATATAAAAAAGAATAACAAATTATATGGAAATTAATTCACTTTTCAGAGCTGTGCGTGAGGCCACGAGTGTCAGTCTGAACATGCGGGTTGGTCTCCACACGGGGCGTGTGCTGTGCGGGGTGCTGGGGATGAAACGTTGGCAGTACGATGTGTGGAGTAATGACGTCACATTAGCGAATCACATGGAGTCAGGGGGCAAACCAGGGTGAGTATGATGTCACATTGGCTAATCACATGGAGTCAGGGGGAAAACCAGGGTGAGTATGATGTCACATTGGCTAATCACATGGAGTCAGGGGGAAAACCAGGGTGAGTATGATGTCACATTGGCTAATCACATGGAGTCAGGGGGCAAACCATGGTGAGTATGATGTCACATTGGCTAATCACATGGAGTCAGGGGGCAAACCAGGGTGAGTATGATGTCATAGTTTTTTGCCTAACCAAATAAAATGGTGTAAATGTATGTTTTTACATGCCCTTTACAGTTTAATTTTGTACAAAACATATATAAGATATTAACACAATGGAAATTAATGCACAACACACTGTCAGGGTACTGCAATATCACAGCAAACACAATTTCAGCTTACATGCTGGCACAGCTAATACATTATCTCACCTAACACACTGTCAAACAGGACATCCCAATTGTACACTCTCATTCTCTCTCTCTCTCTCTGTTTAGTGTGTGTGTTTGTCCTGTTTTTTTTTTTTTTTGCAGCTATGCATCTTGATTTTTCTCTTTCTTAATCATTTCTGATCAATTTCTTGGGTGTTAACTCCTATCCATTGGCTGAAGCTTATTGCGATTGTTAATCTTAGTTTTGTATTGTATTAAATACTTTCCTTATTTTAGCCGTGTTCATATTACAAAGGCCACGTTGGAGTGTCTTCAAGACCAGTTTGAGGTCGAGCCAGGCAATGGCATGGAGAGAGACAGCTATCTCAAAGAGCACAATATAGAAACTTTCTTCATAGTGGCCAAACATCCAAGAAGGGTAAGTCTAACGTGGATGTATCGATTAAATCATAAGATTCTTGAAAATGTATACAGAAAAGGATATATATGTATGGGAAAAAATAAAGGGTTACCTTTAATTATTTTTCAGTACTGTTCAATGAATTATTGTGTTTCACATTTAAATCACATATTTCTCCATGTACAGATACATATTTAGGAATATGTATATTGTCGTAATGGAGAAAAATATTAAAAAAATAGGACTACCTGTGATTTTGTGGCAATTTATTGACAGGTTGAATAACATATATTTCAGTTTCATTAATACTTATATGAAAAGTACTACTATGAATAGTTCATTTGCAATGAGCAATTTTTTTTTTTTGGAAAGTTTAATATATGCTACAGAATGTGTCTGACAGAATCACAAAGGGAGTTGTAAATTCAGATTCTACTGTTGGTCTAAAATTGGCCCATACCAGGTATTTGTTTGTCTTGACTTTGTGCTTTTTGGTTGTTATGTACAAACAGGATAAGTTAATCCAAGTTTTGAAAACAAGAACATCTTTATTCTATTATCAGGCAGAATCTCAGTTGATTTGGTGTTCTATAGATTGCAAGTTTCAGGGGCGGATCCAGGGATATTTTCTGACAGTCTTCCAAATTATCTTTTTTTATCCATCCTCCATTTTTTGACCATCTTCCGATATAAAAAATTAGATACCCCTCAATGTAAATTTGAAAATCTGACCGTCTTCCGGAAGACCCAGAAGATGGCCTCAATCTGCCCCTGAGTTTCATAGGACAAAATTTTAGTAGAAGCAGCTAGTAAACACTTAAATCATTCATATTAAACATTTTCAAAATTGAATGATTTCAAAAAAGATTCTGTCAGGGTTTTTTCCCTATATACCAGGTGGTCACCATAAATCATGTCCATTACCCAAAGTGGTCACATGTGGGAGGATAAAACCAGTGGAGAAAAACTTGGCAGAGCTGATTTACACCTCCTAAAATCAGGATCTCCCCTTGAACGCTCCTGGATTGCCTGAATGTTAAAAAACATTTAATTGAGAAATTTCAAAAAGTAAATATTGGATTGTTTCATTGAATTATACTCTTAACAGAAGTTCACGTTGTAAAATTGGTTCACACAGTAAAAGCACTGCTTGGGTGAGAAGTTTTTGGTTGGTGGTTCGGTGTTGTTCAATGATTGAACCAGTTAACCAGTGTAAACATACCTACTAATCCTGCCTAGTGGTCACTCTGTTGGTCAGGTCATAGGTCCAACTGGTTAGACAGGTCAGACAGGAAGAAACTATAAAATACAACATTTATGAAACAGTCAATCCTTGTCGAGGAACAGAGAAGTACTATGTTCTTGGTCACTTCAAGACATTTGGTCCTAGTTTTGAAAAAAAATTAATTAATGAGCTTTGTCCAGTGACAGGGGTGGTATATGCACACACAGTGTGATAATAGAGAATGGTGCAAACACCCTGAGTTTCAGAAAAAAATTGAAAATTCATACCTCTACTGTCAGCTTGCCTCTGACATTGCTGCTGAGACTGCAGTGCCCTTTGAATCCCAGGGTGGATGCAAATTTACTTCTCATAAGAAACATAATTAGAAAGAATGCATGTTGAGCTCAAAGAGGCAGTATTTTATACCCTTAAAGCCCCTCCCCATGTTCTTAAGTGTAATTGATCTGAACACCAGGGTTGTGTACTTATGATAATAATAATAATAATAATAATAATAATAATAATAATAATAATAATAATAACTAATTATTGATATTTTCTAAATGTGAAATTTGAATAAACAAAAATTATTTTAAAAAAGAGTAAGATGGATAGGAATTATAATATAGAATATTAAGGCTACTGCTATGTTAACGAGACTTCTGATTAAAACAGACTGAACAACAGACCCCATGGGAACACTGCAACCAGACAGCTTCTCTGGCTGGGGTGACCAGTTCAGAATAATGCAGTCAAAACTTAATGTATAACTTCTTAATGAAGTCAAGTTGCCCTTCCCTGCCCATGTTAATGGGATTTAGAATCTGTCTGGAGTGAGAATGAATCCAATAAGCTCTGTTTTAGAGGTCAGAGTAAATTTTCTCCATAATTGGGCTTCCAATTTCTTTCATTTTAGGTATTGATTCTTGAACTATTACATCAAGTTGCTTGCAGTGACTAATTATCTCAGATGGACCATAACTAGGAATATGTATGCTTCATATAACAATAACCCGAACTACATTCAGATCAGTTTTCATGTGTATTGTATTTTTTGAAGTATTACAGGTATTGATTCTTGAACTATTACATCAAGTTACTTGCAGTGACTAATTATCTCAGATGGACCATAACTAGAAGTTAGTGTGCTCCATGTCACAATAACTCTAGCTTCATTTAGATCAGTTTCATGTATTTTATGAAGTAAAATAGGTATTGATTCTTGAACTATATTATATCAAGTTGCTTGCAATGACTAATTACCTGGGATGGATCATGTAACAATAACCCAAGCTTCATCTGGATCAGTGCCATGTATTCTATAAAGTATTTTATTACTACACTATACTTTCAACAGAAAGTAGACATGTTGATTGCAAGTGCCTCAGTGGGGTCTTATAGATCCCATTCTCATACCTAGATCCATCTGGCAGATTCGACCCATCTCTGAAGGGATTATCGATAAATTGTATTCAATTTAAGCGGCTTAGATGTCTGGCACGCCTACTGAAGCTGCTAAAAGATAGTGAACTATCCCCAGACAGCTTCAGTAGGCATGCCAGATATCAGAGCCACTGAAGCTGAATGTAATGCAGAGAGAACTCCTTGGGGATGGGTAAATCTAATTATGGGAATGGGGTCATAGCAAAATTACTCTCTTTATTGCCAGTCAAGAATAGTTTCAGTGTAATAAGGTTTTGGTGGTGGTGGTGTTGTGTTTGGGGGGGGGGGGGGGGGGGTAGTCNACGATAGTGAACTACCCCCAAACTGCTTCAGTAGGCATGCCAGACATCACAGCCACTTAAGCTGCATATAATTTAGAGAGAAACTCCTCGGAGATGGATCGATTCTGCTAGATCGATCTAGGTATGGGAATTGGGTCATAGCAAAATTACTCACTTTATTGCCAGTCAAGAATAGTTTCAGTGTAATAAGGCAAATTCAAGGTTTTGGTGTGGGTGGGGGTGGGGGAGTCATGCCCTTCCCTTAACTTCAGAAGCAATCACTTTGCCCTGCTCCCCCTCCCCCCCCCCCTCCCAGAAAAATAAAAAATAAATAAAAACTGCAAAGAGAAAAATGAGATTAATCAAACATTTTTCCTCTAGCCATATAAATTACAGCAGAAATGTGCTCATTTACTATTTAATAATTGTTGTAAGATTCTCTCATTTTTATTACATAATAAATATGTATAATACTCCCCTTCTTTAGCAAAAAACGGGAACCCCAAATGAAGTTAGTCATGAAGTGAACACTACCAGACATATTTCTGGCAGGGGTTTTAACCAGGTTCATGAAATGAACACGACCAGCCATATTTCTGGCAGGGGTTTTAGCCAGGTTTATGAAATGAACACGCCCAGACATATTTCTGGCTGGGGTTTTAACAAGTTCATGAAGTGAACATGACCAGACATATTTCTGGCAGGGGTTTTAATCAGGTTCATGAAGTGAACACGACCAGACATATTTCTGGCAGGGGTTTTAACCAGCCTCCAATTATTTCAGGCAGTAGTATTGATGTATTTCATCAAATTACAGGGCATGATCGCATTATCATTATCATGGAGAAATGTGGCTGATTGCCCTGGTCCAAGAGATACAGTATTTCTGCAAGCAGGCATGAATGATTTAATTTCTTAGCAATGGTGTATCATGTTATCATGGTAGGCAGTGGTGGATTTATGGAGGACCCCCAGGACCCCCCCCTCCCTGACCCCTCCTCTGAATTCTGAAAAAAATCACACCAATGGTCCCCTCTTGAAATTAGAATTTTGACTAGCTAAACTATAGTTATAAACAGTACCAAATTGCATTTTGTCCCCTAAAAAATACCAAAAAAATTCAGTGAGTTCCAAACTCCATGCCAAGGGGAACGGGGGGGCTTTGCATCAGCAGCCTGTCATTCCTAAAAAACGCCCCCTCCCCCCCCCAAACAACCCTGGATTTACTCCTGCTAGGGTTCTGAACATGGAATGGGGAGTGGGGGGCAAAATGTAATTATCTACTAGCTAGATTTCTTAATGTGTAACAGCAAAACATTTTATGCCTGATGTGATGAATGATAAATTGATCCCAAAAAGTGAAATTGTAAAAATTTTAAGCCAGAACAGGTTCCCTTTCTCCATTGCTAATAATTACTAAGGTTGTTTGGACAGCTCTTAGTTCCAACATAAGAAAAAGTCATAAAAAATTGTCAAACCTCTTTTTTAAAGAAAATGCAAGACTTGAATGAAAATTCTAGAAATCATGTCTTCTTTCTGGACATCATAGAAGTATTCAGAGAGCTCCCAGATTTTGATTTCAAACTTGAGTAGCTATATATCCGTCATTCTAGGAAATGCTGTGGGCAGGCATATATACTACAAACCAAATGTAGAATACAATGTCTGATTAGTAAGCAGCAATAGATCAGGAATGATTCAACACTAAAATGCAATACCAGACTAGTTGGATATTTTTGTGTGCTTTATATCTGAGGTAATCTTTTATGGGATTTCAGTGTGAAAAATGTAAGGTGCAAAAAAAAAGAAAAAAAAAATGAGGGTGCCAGTATACTGCAGGGCTTTAAATCTTGGATCTGCCCCTATGACAGGTTTACACAGGAGTGAAATTTAGACCATAATCAGTCCAACTTTACTTGTCTGAACACACCTGAATATTTCCTACATTCAGATGGAAAAAAAAATGTGTAGGTTCAGCACTTCAGACAATCCTTCAATTGGTATCACTTTAGGCAGCACTAACAAGTGTTTTACAATGAAAAGGTTCTCACCAAAGATTAGTTCTGAAT